ATAAGGGTTTATTCGCATCCCGAGAAAAGTAAGTCTAATAATTTGTCCGAAGGGCCGGAGGTGTCGCTAAGATTTACGACCGACCAAAGCCCGGTGTGTCGTTAATTTTACTTAACTGTAGTGCACGGTGGTCTTGACCAAAACTCTGCCGGCATAAAATATCATATTTACACCGGGCTCGCGTATAGTATAGTCGAGCTCCGTACGCGGTTTAGTCGGATGATGGTAATAATAATAATAAAGTTATGTTAAAGTACAAAATTGTTCAATATATACTGCATTGTGTTTTTTGAATTGGTATCGCAGTGATCTGGTCTTCGGCAAAATGTTGAATAATATTTTGCATCGGTCCTTTCTTATATTTATATTTTATTACTTAACTAAACAAAAAAAACGGAAATCATATAAAACGAAACGTTGCCGCTTTGCTCTCTCCTGAGTTTCCGTTAAACCGCAATACTACCAGTGGTTTTTATTGTCACGATGCTTTGAATGCATAATATACAAACAAAAATAAAAGAAAAAAAGTCTCGAAATTATAGCCCGTAATTTCCCAATGGGACGTGTTGTGCGAGACAAGGGGTGGAAAATAGTAGTGATATTTTGACATTCTCTGTACGAAATAGTGCGTTTTAAATATGTATATGCTACAAAACGCTCAAATAATTCTAAAGGGGCGGAGGGGGGTCGTCGTATATAATTTATTACTAAGTTATGAGCGATTTTAAACGTAGGTAAGTCGCTTTCGTGGAAATTTGATCAAACAACGACCACTTAGTGAAATTAAAAAAGCACTTACTGTATTTGATACCAAAAACTAAACCTGTTTTTGTACTGTTATTGAGGTACGCAGAACGTATAATGTATGAATGTTAAGTGTATACAAAACGGAACAAAATAAGCCCGGCGGCGAAGCCGAGAGTAGTAGGGGTTTGGGGAATATGAACTACCTGTTTTTTGAATGGTCCAACCGAATATCATTATGAATATTTGAACATTGCTAATGGAAAATTAATATAGCTTTGTCTCTTAAACCGTCGGCGTGGATCAAAAGCTGGACAATTTTTTTTTTATGAACGTTTTGCCATTTATTTGCGGTATGGAAAATTCTCAAGATTACTTATATTCATGTTAGTGGTACTTGTACCCGCCAATTTGGTCATTGTCATAAATCTTGGATATGTTGGTTCGTGCGGCTAACCGGTATTCGTGTTCGGTTAATTATTATTTCTAGTGATTAAACGTGAGAATGGTCCCAAGAGTGCCACTCCGTTTGTCTTCTCATTCGCGTGATACGACGCTCTACCGAATTAAGTAATGATAACCCATATTGTATAGAGTTTACTCGAAAAACGCACCTTGACACGAAACCCTAAGTGCGCTATCGTGGATGAAAATAAAACTACTCTGAAAAATAAAGGAGAAACACAAGCATCACGTACACCGCCGGGCACCCGCCGCAGCATCCAATGGTCAGTAATATTAATATATCACAAAAAGCTCGTTTGCTTTCGACCCTAATATTGTATTTTGTTAATAATACAGCCACGCAATATCTTTTTTGTCTTTGTCCCCGGGTTCCATAGTATAACACATTGTGTATTATTTTCAAAAATATAATACACAACACAACGACCCGGCAACTAGGAAGGAGTCCTAAAGTGTATAAATAATAAAAATACTCGTTAATTTGATTACATTTATGAAGAAATACCTACGCGTTAGTTTCAAATAAAAGGAACGTTCCGTTTATATTCACTTAATACTATTATTTACAAGTAAATAAACATTGCTTGTACAACATAATATATACGTGTATATAATATTTTACGAAATAATGTGTTAACCAACAATTGGATTCGCTATTTTGCTTTCAAACGTAAATACTATAAAAAAAATAACTTTACAATCAAATTATGTACATAAAAAATAAATATAAAGTAGCGATAGTACATTAAGCGTTTTTTTTTTAGTCGGCGTACTTTTCTCATTGTCGGATTGTAACTTTTTAAGAACTGTTCGGCTTTTGTTTAGTAAAAAAATTGAACAAGTTAAACGCAATATTTGACAACAGGTAGACAGGTTTTTTTATATTCGACGGTCGTTTTCAAACCCATCTTTGAAATCGAACTTTGAGATAAAACAAAGAAATCAAAAAAAAAAAAGAGCTGACCTTCTATAGTAAAAGCGAATAACGAGTAAAGAACCGTAAATAATGGATACCGGAGTAGTTATTTTTCTCTCGGTTCTCCACTACACTCCCTGTGGGTCTCCACTAGTACCGGAATAAAGAATGACCCAACAGACATTTTTACTCTATCGCCTTTTTTTTTTCCCCCCCAATGTTTGTCGTCCATTGTCTAGCAACGTCGGGGCGCGACTTTAAGAAAACGGTGTTGTCGTCCCTTAACTGTCTGTCATTTGTCTTAACATTTACGATTGAGATATCGGGTAAAAACTATCGCGTGCCTTTACCGTCACTACCGCCGCCCCTCGCCTAGTCCGTTTTATTCGTATACGGTCGAGCAAAAGAGAAATTGTCGGAATCGTTGTTGGCCCACCGTCGTGTTGCGTTTGCGGCGGTGTTGTGGGTGTGTAATCGCCGTAGATATTTCACCAGACCGACCTACAGAGAGAGAGAGAGAGAAAGCTTTCGTCAGCTCTAAAGCTTTTTCCGATCGATCGCTGTTGGTGGTGTGTGTGTATAAATGGTGATAAATTAACCCTCTCCTTTCCATACCGTCGACCTTCAGTCGCTGTTGGAAACTGTCCAACGCATTACGGGTAAAGGGTAGCCGCCGGCAAGAAGTGAAGAGGAGAGAAGGTGGTGGATATACGTCCGATTAAATGCGACTCGGATAAAAACGACACCCGGTTTGTTGTTGTAACGGCAACCGTGGAGATATGTGACCGTCTCCGCGTGTGCGTAGTGTTTTTATTTTATAACGGCCGACCACCTTACTGATTTACGATATTGCCGATTGAAAAAAAAAAATGTAGAATTAAATGGACTTTTATTTTTCACAATCGCCATCGAACAGATAAAATAAAATTAAAAAAAAAAAAAAGTAGCATTTTTTGTTTTATTGTTAATTTATTTGTGATTGATTTACGTTTTGTTTGTACACACGTCTACCTGTACAACGAGAGCTGGTCGGATGTAATAATTATCGGTCGATGGCTGCACCAGTAAAATATTCGTACTTACCACCGGGGACACATTAAAATCGCTGTGAAAATTATAGTAGTTTATTCGTGTTCACAAATTTGTCATTGTGTCAGTCGGTTATACCCTCTAAATGACCAATCGCACAATTATTCCAACCAACAGTGTTATAAAAAGTATTCAAAAGCGGTTCTGAAAATGAAAAATGTATTTATTTTCCATTACTACGCGGTATAATTTTACATTAAATCAAATATGTATTGCGATAAAACATTTACACAATCAATAATGTTTTCCCCCTAAAATGCTGATTGACACACAATAAGTTTAAATAATATGAATAAAGTATAACTTGAGCAGATTTGGGCAATATCGAATAACTTTTTATTTAAATAATCATCCAAACAAAACAATTATTTGACTAAAAATGTGCTCGAACGATATCCTATTGGTTTATTCGAATAAACCTCTAGTATATACCAAATGCATTTTTATTCGAATAAAAATACTATTCAAATATTTATTTGTAATTTAATTTTATAAAAACAAAAGAAAATATATTTTTTTATTCATATTTTAATTGAATTCTGTCCAACTTTAAACTCCTAGTTTGTACAAATGGGTCGAAAATGATCGAAATTCGTTCATAAAGTCGTCAGTCAAGAAAGAAAACTGTGGTTATGACTTGGAAAGGTTGTACAGGTGCACTAGAGAAGCGTTGAACATTCGAGAAGCGATTTAAGAATTGTTAAAAGCGTAAAAAATATATGGCAGCACTTAATTTCCGTAGTTTGTAGTATACGGCACAATGAGATACCAGATCCAAACGAACCGAGAGTCCCTCGATTGTTTTTTCTTAAATCATGATTTATGTGCATTCGGCGAGTACTGCGATGTCTCGGATGGATTATTGGCCGAGCTAGAGTCGCTGATTTATCTAGGGGGGGAAGTCTCGCTTTATTAAAATCTTTGTTTTTTTTAAACGCACAAAGCCTTAATTTACATACAAAAACGGTCTTCCTCGTGGGGTTTTCGTCCCTATTCTACGACGCCCCGGCGTTACCATCTGCAGCGGACTCGGATATCGGAAACCGATTTGGAAAAGTTTTATATTATTATGCTGCCCACCGGAAACCGAGTCCAATCCCTGGCTCGGTTTTACACTGTGTGTATGTGTGTGTGCGCGCGCCCCATGTGTGTTAAAAGCGTTAAGGGTTTTCATTAAAAAGACCTTCTCTCTCCGTGGCTCGTATACACAACATATTACATCCGTGTACGACGGGTAGTCCATGCGTTTAGGCCTCGCCGAGAGTATCTTTCGGATGACATCGACAGGTGTACTGCCGGGAGAATGTTTTATGAGCCCCAGGCGAGTCGTTTTGCGAGACGGCGACACCCCTTAGAAAAACGAACCCCCCCCCCTATCCCCGAAACCGGAGCCGCGCGGGTACATACCTATCTTATATATCTACGACACCGAGAAGGGAAACTCACCACGCGACCGTCGTTCATTAATTCTTAATTAAGTGCCGCAAATGGCCGAAAAATATAGCGGTAGAGTGCAATAAAAAAAAAAGAATCCCCCCGGAAAAGGGAACGAATTTCATACCTAACCGGTGTCGGCGAGGGAGAATTCAATTTCGCCCAATATTGTTTTGCTTATCAAGAGTTATTGCTCCTTTGTCGACAGAATTTTTAATCACTGTACAACCCCCTCTCTCGTAGCCCCAGCCCATCGTGTCTCTTCCCCTACCGTCAGCTAACATTAGTCCGTCCGGAAAAAGTTATAAGCACGTGTATTAATTTTGATGGTCTTTTTTTGTTCTAATTGCAGGATTGAAGACTGTAGAAGGTGTTTGGTGATCACGGAAAAGCACCAGAACGTGATACAGTACAAAGAAAGTAAGTGTTTTGTTTGTTTCGTTTTAAATTAATTTATTATGAAATCTATTTAGCCGGAGTCCGATTTTATGTTATTCCGCTGCGAAAAGTTTCATTTTGTCGTTAAACTTTTTAATTAAAATGTTTTCCCCATAATCATCCGTCTGTCCCATTTTTCCCGCGCTCTTTCGTTTCATTTATTCGAATTAGTATATTATTTTTAAGTTCAATCTCGAGATTGATTTCACCGTGCAAAATTGTGTTTTATTGTTTCCCTTCGTGTTTCCGAGAAAAGTTACTTTAACTAAAATTCACGTTTCCCAAGGCGTGCATTTTATTTATATCCGCTACGATTTCGTTTCTTCATTATTTTAAAACTTGAAAAATCAATTGACCTACAGGGTTTTTTAAATTCAATCAACTAATACAAAAATTAGCTGTTAGTTAAATTAATTTGTTTTAACTGACTATTAAAATGAACCAAATGAATTGGTCACCATAATACGTCAGATATAATTTAAATTATCCAATCTGCGTTAATAAAGTAAACAATACTAATATTTTATAAACTACGACGGTGTTTGAAAATGCATTATGCCGATCATAACATCAATATAATATCCTTCTATGTTCTCCAACAGTAATAAACAGTAGAGAGTCTCTAATGTCCAATATGTATGCATATTATAAGGTATAAAAAGCTATTAGGTATTTTATTAGTGTATGCTTCACTTAATTTCTCAGAAAAATGTTAACTTTTAGCTTGAAAACATTCTATTATTATTGGACATGCTTTTTACATTACATTACATTTTTTTTTTTTTTTGAGTATTCACTTACATTGACTTCTTCCTACTTTATTTGTACCTATACACACACATAATATATTTATATTACAAATATTAAATATTTATGAACACCACGAACACGTTACTCGTATAAACAATAAGTTCTTAAGAGAAATTTGTGTGTTGTAAAACGTGTGTTCCTAAAAAAAACTTTTTAAGCATATTATATTAATACTATACAATTTTATAATTTATCGTTTTATTGATTACCTCATATTCATTTTTATACGTACATTGTATTTTTAGGTAGACAATTCATTTTTAAACTTTCATTGAAATACCACTTCATAAAATAATGTTTAATATCATTTTAAGTAGGCAAACGTGACGTTTAAATATAATCAAGCCACCACACTATGTGACGAATGTGCGACTATGTTTTGGATTTCAAATAAATTTTATGACTGTAGCATTTTCAGTTTCGTATTAACTAGGAAACATATTTTAAACTATTGTATAATATGTGTGCTTGCGCATTGAAATTCCGTCGACCATTTTTTTACATAATATGATGCCAGCAAAAATCATTGATGACTAGTAAATACTCGACTTGTGATTTGTCGCTGGCAGGCCGTTTAAAAAAAATATTATAAAATTATAATTTTTTTTAAAAACCGTTTACATATTATATCTTATAATATAGTATCGTTGTCACATTAATGATCTGCCAACTGGAAATGCGGGGAATATGGCGGCTTTGAAGTATTTTACCGATAACTCCATTATTATTATTAATATCATAATATTACATATTAACCGATTATTGAAGAAGTCTGATCAAAGCGTAGACGATTTTATTTATTACTTATTTTCACATAGCTATGAGATTATTTCTCGTTTTCTGCATTGTAAGCCTCTATACGGGGTGTTCCGCGTAGCGTTGTCGATTTTACTTAGCATTTCTATGTACATACTAGTATATGGTCTTTGAAACACCGCGAGACATCACCCTGTACATATATAATAATATATATAAGCGTGATGACGTATTATCATAACGCTACGTGAACCGTATATATATATACATCGGTAAAACGTGATCGGTTTTCCTTAACAACCCCACGGACATCTGGAGAAAAAAACTAGAAAATCTTTTAAAACCTCCTAAATTCCCCTAAGTGCGTCGTAAAAAAATCGACGTATTTTGTTAACCCCTGGACAGCGTATATAAAATGATATTATACTGCCTCGACGGCCGTATACTCGGGACCGAAAATATTGACTAAAATTCGTATATATAAACACATTATTTTCGTGTTCCGTTCATGAATATTGCATATCTCGTATACAGACTCCTTTTTTCCAATCATATGCTCTTTGCACTACCTCACCTATATGTATAAACCATTTCTCTAAATTATTGTTTTATGGCCCCCTATCGTAGCTAAAACCTAATAATAGCCCGATCATAAGTAATGCGCAAGTTTATAAAAGATAAAAACCTTTTTTTTAAAAGGAAAAAAGCCAGCACGGTAGGGTCGAAGCGTAGTGTGGTCAGTGACTACCAGTCAAGAGATTTTTGAGAAAATAATTGATGTAATAGCCCGAACTTAGATCTTTTCCTTTATCTACCTTCAATTTAATTGTCAGACTTCAAGTCTCAAAACTATGCTAAAAATATACCTACTATTAAAAAAAAGTTCACCCTTTCTAGGATAAAGGATTTTGATATGTTGTGGTTTAACAACACAGATCACCAATAGTATTTAAAGAATATTTCATATGAATTTGGAACTATTTCTACCATTTTTGAAAAATGTATAATTTTAGTTGAATTACATTGAAAAATATCTACATTTTTCGGGTACTTTTCACAATTTTGAAGGGAAAGGGTTTATTTTTAAAATTTTTAAACCAATAATGTGCCTTTCAGGTACGACTTATGTTTAGGAGATGTCGTGGTTTAGACACAATGTGAGAAAAATAAAAACGTTTTGTAAAAACAATATCTTCTTAGCACTCAATCAAAGCTAAAATACTACCTACACTCGAAAACATCTTGAATTTTTGTGTTTCATATTTTATAAGACATTATTAATTAAACATTACTTTTTTGAGACACCTGCGAGGGTTACCGCCAGGACTCAAGCTTCATATCTATAGTATATCTACTTACAAACAGACTTGTTGTTGTGCGCCATACAGTGACTAGAAATCATCGAGTTAGGTGGTTAAATCGGCTTAAGGCCCCCCTAGGGCTTTATTTACACAACCCTCGCACCGTGTCTATGTTTTTTTCGAGTCTCTTCCGCTACCTTTTAATAGCCCGGAGATTCGTAGTATTCTCCATTAACTAATAAACTCAACCCAGCTGGACATACATTTGCTGGGTCTGTGTCTGTCGTCCACAGCAACCCCACTACCGACAATAATAACGACAAGTTTATGCGTTGTTAGTAATTAAATAACACATTACTCAAAGAGTATAAATATATGATTAACACTGGATGCAGAAAAGAGGAAATCATTTTTATTATGTGACGATGTTGATGTGACTACATGTTCATTTAGTATACTGTAATTTTACCGTGCTTTACCTTTAATTGGGCTAACGTTTTGTTATGTTTTTGAAAAATTGTATTCACGTTTTTCAAAAACATAATAATGTATAAAATTAAAATATAATATACTACTAATAGATAATACTTACTACTACTATAAAATACTACTGCGCCTACTTGGATGAGACAAAATCGGTTGTTGATGAATTTCCCTTTTGTAAACTTAATTTATACAATAATATGAAACTTAGTAGTTCACACAAAAAGTGGAACGGTAATGAGTACTATACTTAGCGGTTTCAACTGTTTATATATAATGTGAGTGTTCAAGTAAAACTGACAATAAACTCTTGTACACTGACAATGACGTCGGTACATATACTGTTTTGCCTATGAAAAGAAATAGCCTTTTTACAAATTTTCCTTACTTTAGAAACTTAAGTTTGAATGCCGCTATAGATAGATTCCAAGTACGTAGTAACATCACTTAAATTATGCATAACGGTAGACGGTAGTCCTTAATGGACGGTAAATTATATAACAATGTTTCCTTTATGTACCCGTCCTCTTAACTTTTCCAACTCAGAATCTTTAACTAGACACTCTTTATCTTCATTTCGTAAGACCTTATTATGATTTTAATGATTTTGAATTGATGAGAAAATTCTCGTTTTATTAAAATATGCTACTCTTGCGCCCGTTTGTCGTCTTGAGAGCAGTCAACGCGCCCTCTAGTATAGTGAAATTGATGCGGGCGGTTATAACATGATGAACAAAATACTTATCTTTTGTTGGACGATTAATTTCGAACCAGTGTCGCCAGCCAATGAGCCAGCAGCTTAAATTATTACAGTTGCAATCGTCTCCTCTGGGAATGCAAACAAAAAACATCTGGTAATCGTTTCTGTTTCTTTTTTGTTGATTTAACTATTTACCAGTAACCTGATTCGTTATGCCGCAATAATCATATTAATGATGAATTCATTAACTATGTATTTTTACATATGCGTATAATTGAAAAGTGCAGAAAAAATGATATTGCCTTGTAAGAGATGAAAATTGTTAGATATTATATTATATTTGGCAAATAAAAATACATTACACAGTTTTTGCGAGGTTTTCGGAATAAAAATAAAAAGAGCTGTCGAGTCAACTCAAAAAAAAAAAAAAAAATTATTCAACACTCATGAGAACGCGACAATAATAAATTGTACCAACTCGGATCTATACTCTGACTTGTAACTAGATTAAAATTCGGGACTTGGTTGTTCTCCAGACCACTACTTCCTGCGCTGCGTGAATAGTTAATTTTTTTTTTTTACCATTCTCTTCTTTCCGTCGTCTCTATGAACTTTTATGTCTCGGGAGACGTCTCGTCTAAAAACTTCCTCCTTCAACTTACGAGTTCCGGTCGTTAATGGAAAATCCGCCCGAGCATAAGGAATAGTAATTACCGTATAATAGCTGTAAATAGCAGAGGGATGGGGGAAGCGACGGCGTCCACTTGTGAATTATTTATTGTATCGTAATCCGTGTTTTGGCTAGCTTTTTACATTTTCACGTTTTCGCTTCTAATACGCGATAATGCTTGTACCTAACTTGGTCACGCTATCGCTATTTTTTATTTATTGTCTTCTCAGTTATTTTAGTTGCTTTTAGGACGCCATATCCTTGGTTATTAGAATTTTCATATAGGCATAGGATTAATAAGATTTTCATCAAAATCTAAATTTAACAATACATCTTTGTTTATTATGATTAGTACGATAATAAGAAGCCCTTCTGGTATATCCATTAATAATTAATTAAAAATTAAATAGTTATTATTATTTATTTTCATCAGACTGTGATAGCGTCTATTTTCCACGTTTTCGGTATATTTTATCCCCAATTATTGTTGGCTAGCTATACCTATATTCATGTAATATGTCTATGAGTCCTAATATTTTAGTAGTACTTAAAAAACAATATTATAAGACGGTTTTTCTACAATTATCAAAAAAGAAGCAAAATATTAATTTTATACTAATCATACAAATTTAGCTATTAGATATATAAACAAAAACCAACAACGTACGGTGTATATAGTATTTGTTTGTACAAATTTCGAAAATTGACTTCTAAAAAAAAGGTATGAATACTTGAGAAATAGCAACTTTGTAGTTTTACACCTAAAATTACGGTTGAGTGGCGGTGTAACTTCCTGCAAATATTAAAAATAAAACTAAAATGTTGATGAAATGAACAATTTTTATAAAAATATTTATTTAATATTAGTTCGGGGTTTCTTCTCCACTCCACCGTTTAACTTCGCCGTCTTCGCGAATAACCTTTTAAAATAAGAAAATTTAAAACTATCGTTAGCTAATCGCTGTCCCGTAGTAACCGGTATTTGACTTAAGCGACTTCAGATTGCACCGGACTTGAACGTCGCTCTTTTGAGTGATGTTTAATGTAACACACATAGTTTTCTTCTCGTCGTCGTGACCCGGAAAGTTGACCAAAGTGCGTTTACTTTCATCGTGCAATTTTTACGTCTGTTTGGTTATGCGACGCGACCGGAAACTTTTTTCCTCCCATTTTCTCTATTAAGATCACGCTCCCAAAGCTCCGAGGGTGTGTTGTCAATTCATGTCGCGTGGTCCAAATTTCATTTTCGACATCTTCGCCCCTTCTTATCTCGCTTGTCGTGTGCCGGCGTCGTCGTCGGTGTACAAACATTAGAATTGCGAATGCGCCTCAGAGTTTGCGTGTCTGGCGCTCGCTATCGCATTGGTGGCCAGGGTAGGGGGAGGGTTACAATATTATATTATATACAATAACAATAATCAACATGGGCTTATCGTCACGGCCGACGGGGTGGAGAAACCTTTTGATCGTTTCTGACCACTACTGAAGCAATGGCTTCGGTGTGTGTTATTTATAATGCTGTAGCGATTCACACACACGAACCCTATTTTCCTGTGTCTATCGTCGGCAATAGTAGTCGACCGCGATGGTACCCTCTTGGTAAATTAATACTTGCCTGCCACCGTAGTAACCGGTCGGGGAAATTGGTTAATAATTCAGTTAGCATAGACCTGGTCGCAGTGTAAGAAAATGAATATGAAACAGCGCCGTAATAATATGTATATGTGATATTAGGTACACCGTCGGCGGAATAGAATTATTTCCCCGAACACACCGTGTAATGGTATTGGTTTCGTGTCTCGAGACGTTTAACGGAAGTGCCTCGAGACCTATATCGCCGTCCTCTCTTTGCCGTGCCACCGCCACCACCGCCACCGTATTGCGTTATAACCATCGATGTGTATCGAGGGGTTTTCTTATATAAAAATGTCCTTGTATGTTACCACTTCCTCCCCTTCCACCCTCGAACCATTACCGCTAAACGATTTTATTCGGTAATGCAATATATAGGTATATAATATAACTCAAGTGTACCTCTGAGTTTTCGGCGCAAACACGGCGATCGCAATTGAATTAGATAAAATGTATTTATACAGCCCAACGTAATCGGGCGCAATACAAACAACGGCCTTTACACACATACACACACGCACTCAACAACAACAGTAAAAGCTGTGTTTGTTAACAATTATATAGGCGAGGAGAAGATTGTATTCCTGCAATGTGGGCATCGATACAAGATAAAAAAAAATATTTGTGCATCCGTAAGGCGACTTACTTCTTGATGGTGTCACTACGTATTAATTATTTAGATAACCGATGAAATTAATAGAACTATATTCGATTTCGGTTGTTTAATGAGACCAATTTGTTCGTTTGTTTCAGATGCACTGTGCGAAAAACGTAGTTTCGACGAATTGTGCGGAGAGATTACCAGTGATGCCCCTCTTTACTCCATGTTCAGGGTTGATGCCATTCCAATATCGTGTCCGTTCGATGGCCTCCAAGCGCCATTTCAGTTTTCCTATAGTCGAGGCGGTTACACCGAGTGCAGGTAAGACAGTCGAAATAGTTACTCTTTAAAGTTCATTCTTACCACAAAATGACGATCGTCGTATAACAAGATAACTATTTAAAAGTAAAATGTAGCAATATGTAGAAATTAGGTGAGAATTATTATAATTTGATATTGATATATTTTTTTAATATAAAATTAATTAAATTTATATTAATATAATAAGAAATTATATTTTTATAAAATGTCTACATATGATAATAGTAAGGAGGTATTTTTATACGTTAAACAATGTCGAATTTATTTGCCTAAATTATTATTTATGTAATTTGACAATAATAACAGTTTTGTGCTCAGACGAAATTGCTTGAGGTAGATTGATTTTTAACAATGTTGCCTGTTTAAAAAAACATTTTCATTATGAACAATTATGGTAAAACATAAATCCGAGATATATATTAGCTTAAGAGACAAATAAAAAAAAGTTAAAGCAAAATGAATTATCAAAACGAGTTGATTAATCGTCTAAATCTATTAAAAATAAAACGGTAAACAAGCTGATGTGAATTCAAGTATACGTTATTCGAATAGACACAGATTGGACATATTACACGCCTTGTAGAACTTGGAACGTTCGTATCAAAGATAATAAATCATAATATTCCGTAAAAGATATTAATATCGTTGAAAATAATATAACTCGATGTAGACTGCTAAATCTTCCACAGTGTCGACGCATAAACATTTTCTTTGAAATAGGTTAGGTCGATATAACTATAGTTCATGTTTTTTATTACATTAATAATTTGTTGGCATTTTTTGTTTGTTTTTGATTGTATGACCCATTCGTATTTTTTAGATCGCCGGTGTCGAAAGCCGAGTCCTGTACATCCGATTCGAGGCTTATGCTCAAGTTCCAAGCTTGTCCCGACGTCCACAACACAGAGAGCACAGGTACGCATACTTATAACCAAAAATATAAAATGTATTACAGATTACTTACTAGATTCTCTATGGCAGTGGCGTTGTAACCAATATAATAACCACTATATTATTGTGTTTTTTTTACAATGTAATATCAATCCTCACGCGTTCCTTCTCCTCCGTATAGTAGTTTTAATTCAATGCCGACAGGACACATGACGGATTTATTGAAACAAACCGTCAACCAGCCGCTTTACTCCACCGCCACCTTTGGGTTTATAACATGTGTCAAACATAAAGGGCCGGCCCGGTTTTTGATTGACACCCGTGACAGTTAACAATGCCGAGTAAAAAGAGCCATTATAGTTTCAGAATAATGATTCGATAAGGTCAGTTTTTTGTCTACTCAAAGCGTTTATTGTTCGGCGGCAAAATAATAAAACAAAAAATTCATGAGAGTTAAAAAAATAATCAGAATAATATCGACGAAAATGAGAGACCTCCGACTAGGGTGACGGCAAGAATTTTCAGTTAAAAGCTATACCTACTAAAAATTTCAAATTCAATTATTGATTATTTATTAAATTTAGTAGTGGAAAAAATATCTGAAGATTTCCCCACGTCCCTATTTGGCGTTAATTTATTTGTCTAGCATTATATTAACTTATGACATGATTACATCTGTAATTTTGCGCTTTCTGTTAAACCAATACTGATAATAAATATTATTTTAAGATTACGTTATAATGTATCTTCTTATGGGTCTTTTACGGTTCCTCTGCTTCTAAACAACAATCTCAATACAACCGCGCATTACAAAGGATCTAATAATATTGTGTTTAATAATTTATCATATTATTATTTATTTCATTTGGGAGTAACGCATAATCACCAGCGGTATATTGTCTTTTTCCATTACAGACAAGTGGTCTCCAGTTTTAAAATATACACCAGGGGTCTCGTGTGAGGTTTGGTTTATACTGTTTGTCAAAAATACGTTTATGATGGAAGTAGATCAACGGATACGTTTTTCATCTCGCCTGAACTTCAAAACTAATCTCTGTTTTTTTCATGACACATTCGACGAAGAAACCCTTTCAAAATTAAATTCCATGCTGGTTCGTCGCGTTCGATCCGTCTTGATTCGGTATTAAGTGTATATAATATTTCAAAACTCGCACCACTGTAGCGGATTCTGAATTAAGTAAAAAAAAAAAAAAAAAACCTTGGCCAATATAGAGCGTATTTCAATATGAAGCTCCTCTCACGTTTGTAAGCTAATATAGTTGGGATTTCCTTATCGCGCGTTCCGATCGATAGTCGGCATAATTGAAAACATTCAATGAAAATATATTCCAGACGTGTTTCAATCCGGCCGAACAGATTTGTGGCCGGCGAGGGTGGAACGTGTAAAATTTACCAAGTTCTATTTGTTTTTTTGAATCCGGTCATATATACATACACACACACACACACACACACACACACACGCACACACCGCCATCCAATCCCGCGCGTGTAATCCATCATCGTCGGTAATCCGTTTAAGAGAAAAACTTTTATTACTTAACTCCTCCCCTACCCTTGCCTTCTTCCCCACCCCCTCCCCCGCTCTTTCCGGCGTACCTATACGAATTTTTAAGCTCGTCGCTTATATTTATCCCGCCGACCACCGACCCGTCGTGTCGTGGTATTGTACGTGTGTTATTTGTTATTGTTTTTACCGTCTTGTGTGTAATGATTTCCTCCGGCGCGCAAGTTCACACAAAACGTAGGATTTGTTGTTTTTATGTTGGCCCCATGATTATATATCGTTTCATCTTGGCGGAACGCTAAATCCCTCGTGAGCAGGCAATCGTCGCCCGAGCTTTGATCGATCGCATGTGCTCTGAATTTTTTTTTTTTTCCACTCCAATGTTTACACGATCGAGGAGGAGAACCATTATTGCCGTTCTCTCCTGCAACCGTTCGCCTATTAAGCCGATTATAAACGGACAGGTTTAACAAACCGTTCAACACGTGTTACCTCACAATTAGCCGAGATAAACGAACGGCCGCTGTTTGTCTTTGCTACACGCACGCGCGCAAATAGTCTCGTATAAGGCATATTTTCATATCGTTTCTATTTTATACTTTGTACATAATATGTAGTATTTGGCTCAAACCGCGTTAAGAGGTCTCTGAGAAAAACATGAGCAGTTTAAGAGTAAAAATGTATCCGTTCAAAATTGAAGTACTGATACTTCATATAGATTTCGACTTCACAACGATTTTCGATAAAACAACAATTTTGTCCTAAGTAATTGGAAAATGTTGTGTCCCATAACTAAATTTCTAAAAACGTCCATAATATCTAATTTTGTACGTAGCTCCATTTCAAACTACCGTTACTTGTTATATAGATATGTTAACACTTGTTTTTGTTCGGTAATGGCGTTGTATAATTTGGAAACAAATATTAAATATCAATACGGATCCCGGATTCATTATTAATAAGAGATGTAGCGTCTTTAAGTTAAAATATTACTGTTTTTATTTTTTAACTACAACAAACATTTGTTCAAACCAATAACTGTCTACGAGTCGTTCTTAGAAAAATGATTAGCCATCAAGACGGTTACACGAAATCATAATTCACTTATGTTTTTATTACTTTTTTTTTTACTTGTTATCTAACTGTTATAGTACTTTCGCTCCCTTAATTTATTATTATTGATGTTCTTTTGGTCATTTTTTTTTCATTATTCATTTTTCTTTACTACGCATTTCTTCCAAACCGTTATCTACCCCTGCGAAGTTGTACGTCAACCTGTCGCATTCAATATAGTGTCGTTGCTCGCTTAGGGGCCCTTAAGGATGATGTATAGGCTACATAGTAAAGTGTGTGTGTCGAAAACAAGAGTCTCCTTGCTCATTATTATTGTTACAACCCCGTGTCATATAGGCAAAAGGTAATGAGGCACCTAGACATCAGTCATTGTCGGCAATAATACACGTCAAACCCTTCTTGCCGCCGTGTCGGCAAACTTCATATATTATTCAAGCGAAAACCACCCCCCCCCTACTCACCCCCCAATGTCTAAAAGTTTTAGGGCCCCACCTCTATTGTCTTATGTGTTTCGACTTTCTATTTATTTATTTCATTTTTTTTTTTGTCACCTCTGACAGTGTGAAACCACACAACGCTTGCGGTCCCGTCAAACCGTCGTTTCTGTACCTAAGAAAGCACAGGCCACAAAGAAAACATTCAACTGTTGACATAACCTACTTGCAAATCTTGCACCACTCGACAGACTCTTCTCCGCTTATATCCGCACACCTCCACGTCAATGTCTTGTTGAAACTGTGTAATGTTTGTTCTCGTTTAGTCTGTTTAGCATTTACTATTCAGTATTCAAAATTCCATGATTTTATCTAAAAAAAAAAAAAAAAACTATATTCAGCCCTGTGTTTTCCACACAAAATAATACATTTCTCCGGGGAAACACTTTTCTACAATTGAATATAAAACGAAAAAAAGAATACACACTGAGCAAATTCAAATTGTGATTAAAATTGCATCATTATTTATTGAAATACGTTCTTGGGGGATTCAAACACGTACCTTCAACATAACAACACCACATCGCGTTTAACTTTATAAGGAAACATAATTCAAACGTGTACAATATATTTTTGCACATACACTGCATTCAAAATAAGTATTCATGCAAATTGAAGTGTAAAATATCGACAAGATTATGACATTACTTAATTCGAAAATAATTAATAGGTTTTTTTTAGTAGTCCCTAAATGTTATCTCTTTTGAAATAAATACTTTAATCTACTCAATTACACACTGGATTATACAGGCGTTTTACATACAACAAAATAAATCATTTACGTTTTAAGTACACTTATCGTGTTGAACCCATAACTTCAACAACAAGATCTTGGCCTATTGAATATGTTTCAATAAAAAACTACAATTTTTCGATAGAATTTATTATCGTGATTCGGACGGTATGCGTCTAAATTTAATATGCATAATGTCTACATCTCGCCATGCTAGGCATTTTTCTCCCCGTGACTTGTGAGAGTGCATACTGTATAATATTTATATGCGTAATGTGATAGGGAAATAGGGTGATCTGTCTATGCCACAGATGGAGAATTATGACGAAGGGCGTATACATATTATATAGTAGCCGAAGACCGCCAGCGAATAACTGACATTATTCGTAAACGAACAAAGGAATCCTTTTTAACAGACGACCGCCCCACTTGTTTCTCGTGCACACAGCAACCTTTTCCCTCGTCCTCAATGAAGTTCATTGATTGTGCACGCTTGCATGTATATCCGACTCAAGTAAATGCCCGCAAGCGTTTCTTTTGTTATTCCGAGTCACAAACATGCAACTAGTTCTTCAATAATGTAACCGTTTTGTCGGCAATATAACGTAAAGTAATTTTATATTTAATTTATAATAATACTACTTGATCAACGTTTATAAACAATATCTTTTTCTCGGAACATCGACATACTGTAATTTTTAATATTATATACCAGGTATTTTAATAATATTATCTTCTTGTACATCCATTAACTAAATTATTTCAGTAACTTTGGCAGCTACATTTTCTTACAAAATAATTATTTGTTTTATTGCCAGTAAGTGTAGCCCGAGTTTGATAAAAATGTATTTGACTAGTCAGTTTCTATCAGTTTAGTATCCCAAAAATCTTTTGTTGCGACGAAATATATATGGTAATTACTAATAAATTAAAAACAGGCGCACGTGTCCGTTTGTAATGCATATAAAATTATTATGTGACTTTAACAGGAAATGTATAGTTAGTTTGCTATAAATAATAATAATATTATAAATGTTTATTACTTTAGAAATTATATTTTAATGTGATTGTTCACAGTTTTATTGTCAAAAGAACGACATCCTGGGTTTTATGACGAATCGTGGGTCAAATTAAATAAATCTGAATAACAAGTATTAAAATGTTAATTGAATGACAAAAGTTTTCAGTCTGGGGT